GCAATCTTGATTCCAGCTTGTGCTTCTTCCAGCCCAGCGTTTCTCATGATGTACTCTGCATATAAGTTAAATAAGCAGGGTGACAATATACAGCCTTGACGTACTCCTTTTCCTATTTGGAACCAGTCTGTTGTTCCATGTCCAGTTCTAACTGTTGCTTCCTGACCTGCATACAGGTTTCTCAAGAGGCAGGTCAGGTGGTCTGGTATTCCCATCTCCTTCAGAATTTTCCACAGTTTATTGTGATCCACACAGTCAAAGGCTTTGGCATAGTCAATAAAGCAGAAATAGATGTTTTTCTGGAACTCTCTTGCTTTTTCGATGATCCAGCAGATATTGGCAATTTGATCTCTGGTTCCTCTGCCTTTTCTAAAACCATCTTGAACATCTGGAAGTTCTTGGTTCATGTATTGCTGAAGCCTGGCTTGGAGAATTTTGAGCATTACTTTACTAGTGTGTGAGATGAGTGCAATTGTGCGGTAGTTTGAGCATTCTTTGGGATTGCCTTTCTTAGGGATACTGATAAAAAGTCAACTGTAATTCTTACTGTCATTCCCCTATATGTAATGTCTTCCTCCCCTCCCCCAACTTAAGATTTTCTCTTTGTTTTTTAGCAGTTTTACTATGATGTGGGTAGGTGTGGTTTTCTTCATATTTATCTTGCTTCAATTCACTGGGTTTTGTGGGTTTGATATGTTCGTCAAATTTAGGAAAACTTCAGGCAGTATTTCTTCAAATAATTTTTCTGTCCAATTCTCTTTTTTCTCTTCTCTCAAATTCCTATTCCATGTATATTTGACTGCTTGATGCCTGTTCCTCAGGTCTTGAGACTCTTCATCCCCCACCCCATCCCCTGACCTAGGCTTCAGCCTGGTTGACTCTGTTGTCTTTTCTTCAAGTTCACAGATCTTTTGTTGTGTCCAAACTGCTATAAATTCCATTCAATAATTAAAAGCATTTTTTTTCAGATATTGTGTTTTTCAGTTCTAGGATGTCATTTAGTTCTTTTTATTTATTTATTTATTTTAACAGTATCTCTAGATTTATTTTTCCAAAATAGGAGCATTTCAATACTATTAATACTAAAGGTGCCAATTTACTTACACATTTTTTTTAGTATGCAGCTTTGCACAAAAACTTGTACAAAATGATATGAATCGATCAAGCTAAACAGATCATAATCACTTACATGTAATACTTACTTTAAATCAGTGTTGATGTTCAATGGTAGTACTTCCCTTTCTTGACATTGACATTTACTTTCCCTCAGGATTCATTGGAGATAAGGACTGTATATTCTCTCTGTGTTCAGTATGTTTACTTCTTATTGTAGGTCTTTACTTCTTATTGTAGGTCCTTAACATTATATGTATATTTGATTTGAAGCATCTTCAATATGTTTAGATATGAAAACCCATTTTACTCTAAAATAATTGCTCAGGAAAGGTTCTTCCTCTCTATATAAAGCTGCGGGGCATTTTCTCCATACAAGTAATAAACCTCAGTGGAAATTTCTTGGCAAGAAACATGATAGAAATTCCCTAGTGGGTATACTACTTTCTTTCTTCTTGCCATAGTACATTTAGTTCTTTTTAAAGATTTTCCTTCTTACTCTTGAAATCTCCTATCTCTTCACTGATTATATCTACCTTTTCCTATAGATTTTTTTTTAACATATTTATACTTAAAAAGAAATAATACTGAATCTATCCTTTTCCTCCTAGGATAAGTGTCTTGTTAAGTGGTGGTAAAAAAAACAAACAAACAAAAAAAAACTTATAACAAAATATCTATTATTAAGTTGCTGTATATCTTCTTTGGTGAGATATATGTTCAGATTTTTTGCCATTTTAAAAATTGGGTTGTTATTTTTGTTGTTGTTGAGTTTTAAGTATTCTTTGAATATTTTGGATACAAGTCCCTTTTCAGATATACGTATTGCAAATATTTTCTCCCAGTCTGTGGCTTGTCTTTTCATTCTCTTAACAATATCTTTTTTTTTTTTCTTAACAATATCTTTTGCAGAGCAGAAATTTTTCATTTTAATGAAGTCTGGCTTATCATTTTTTTCTTCTGTGGGTCATGGTGGTGTGTTAAAAGACTAATTACTAAATTCCAGATCACCTAGGTTTTCTCTTGTGTTATCTTCTAGAAATTTTATAGTTTTAGTTAATTTTTGTGAAAGATGTGAGATCAGTGCCTATATCTATTTGTTTTTTGAATGTAAATATCCAGTTGTTCCCAGCACCACTTATTGAAAAAACTATCTTTTCTCCATCAAATTGCCTTTGCTCTTTTGTCAAGGATCAGTTGATTGTATTTGTGCAGTCTGTTTGGAGGCTGTCTATTCTATTTGTCTAGTCTATTTGATATATTTGTTATTTCACTAATACCACACTCTCCTGATTATTGTAGCTTTATAGTAAGTCTTAAAATTAGACAGTATCAGTTCTCTGACTTTGTTTCTCTTCAGTATCATATTGGCTATTCAGGTCTTTTATCATAAGTGGGTGTTGGATTTATTACTGATTCATTTTCTAAAAGATATGGGCCCTTGACACATTTTAAATTGGGTTATTTGTCTTTTTATTGGGACTTCCCTAGTAGCTCAGTTGGTAAAGAATCTGCCTGCAGTGCAAGAGACCTGGGTTTGATCTTTTTATTGTTGTGCTATAGAAGTTCTTTATTATTTCAATACAAATACTTTGTCAGATACAAATTTTCCCCATTTTGTGGGTTGTCTTTTCACTTTCTTGATGGTATCTTTTGAAGAACAAAATTTTTAAATTTTTACAAGGTCTAGTATATCTATTTTCTTTTTTTGTTGGTTGTGTTTTTGGTGTCACATCTAAGAAAACATTTTTTAACCCAAGGCAGCAAAAATTTACTCCTATGTTTTCTTGTAAGGTTATTACATTTAAGCCTCTGATCGATTTTGAGTTCACTTTTTGTATATAGTGTGAGGTAGAAGTCCATCTTCATTCTTTTACATGTGAGTATTTAGTTGTCTCAATATACATTTATACTTTTTAAAGTCTTCGCTAATTGTAACATCTAAGTCAAATACAGATCTGTTTCTATTGACTAGTTTTTCTCTTAACCATGGAGTATATTTTCCTGTTTCTTCATATATATATATATATATACACCTTTTTTGTTTGTTGGAATTTTTATATATACTTCATCATAGGAATTCCAGATCTGTGTTGTCTTCTTGTGAAAAATGTTATTTTTATTCTAGCAGGCAGTTAACTTCTGACAGATCATCTTGATCTTGTGGTAGTTAAGTTTTGCATTTTCTTGGGGCAGGTGTATTTCAGTTTTACTCTTAATCCTAGAGCTAATCTCTTAAATCCTAGGTTGTAATTTTTATTCCTGAAGTATGACCTTTTAGATGTTCCGCTGGAAATTCCCACATGTTTACCAACCTCCTCTAATTAGGCAAAACTTGAACTCCAAACTCTGTTTCTCCTATAGTGGGCAGAAACTGAATCTCTGCTCAACTCTCCACTTCCTAGCTGTATTTTACTCAGCCACCTTGGAATAGTACCTGATTCTGTACAATTCAGGAGCCAGCTAAGAAATTGAAAGGAATTTATATGTGAGTTTGGTTTATGACTTATGCTTCCCTCTTACTGAGGATTTTTCTTTTCAATTTCCAGCATCTTTGACAGTCTAAAAGTCTTATTTTCCACTTCCTCAGGCAAATTTGGCTATGGGTTTCTTCTGGAGTTCTGTCTGCCCCATGATTTGCTGGCTGGGTGGTTTCTTTAGCTGCATCCATGTGGATTTACTCTGTGTGGTCCCCACATTTCAAGAGTTGGATCCTTTCCAGTTTCCGCCAGCTTTTGATAGCTTTTCTAGCCTTCAGACAGTTAATTTAAAATATTTTGTTTAGGGAATTCCCTGGCAGCCAAGTGGTTAGGACTCTGTGCTTTTGATGCTGAGGGTGTGGGTTCAATCTCTGGTCAGGGAACTAAGATTTCCCACATGCCACATTGTGTGGCCAAAGATAAATAGAATAAAATAAAACATTTTGTTCTGAGTTTATTATCATTATTGGCAAGAGGATTAGTCCACTACAAACTACCCCACGGTTTCAAAAACAGGAGGAACAGACTAAGGACTTGGGACTTTATTCTGCAGGCTGGAAGATTTTAAATGGAAGGTTAGTAGGATGAGTTCATGCTTTGTGGGGGATTAGTGTGGGGATAGTTTGTAAGATGGATTGGTAAGAGGAAAGTCAAGGGGCAGGGAAGTAGTTAGGAGACTCTTACGGTAGTTGAAGAGAGCAGGAGTGGGGGGCGGGGAGGGGGAAACCAAGGCTTCAACTGGGGAAGAGAAACAGTAGAAATGGAAAAGGATGGTCACATGGGGGAGATTAAAAGACAAGATCCGGTTTCTGCGAGGGCTTTCCCACATGAGAGAGTTTTTTGTTTGCTTGTTTTGCTGTACCTCAGCATGTGGAATCTTAGTTCCCGACCAGGGATCTAACCTGTGCCCCCTGCGGTGGAAGCTCTGAGTCCTAACCACTGGACCACCAGGAAAGTCCTCAGAAGTGTTTTTAAGTGACCAGTGAGGATTACCATTATTCTATCTCAGAGAATATGGCCAGGTTAAAGTTCATTCCAGAGTATGTCTCTGTGGAAGCTCAGAAACTTTATTCACCTGATGTTAGTCCTGGCAAAATGACCTGACTGAATCCTGAGTCACTGCTGGTCTTCAGGTCTCACTGGCTCACCTGAGGGCTAGTGAAGGCCACCTAAAGTCTACTTTGAGCTTGAGCCTGGGTAAGTTGTGGAAATGGCCTATTTGCTTGCAGTCCCAGGGTCTGGAGTGTAAGTGGACTAACCTGGGGAAGGATAGGAGAAGGGATGACCAGAGTAGGCCAGGCTGCCTGGACCCATCCCAACATCTGCTGTTGGAGCCTGTTCTCTTGAAGTTGGCAACCATTCATCTTTGACCTTTTCTGCTAGCTTTGTTGCTTTTTCTTTCAACAGGTCAAATGGATGATGTACTGGATTATATTTGCACTATTCACCACAGCAGAGACATTCACTGACATCTTCCTTTGTTGGTAAGTACTCCAGGAATTGGGACTTTTCCAGGAAAGATGTTGCCTAGTCTCAAGGGAGAGGTGGAAAAGGTCTGACAACAGTCTTAAACCTAATCAGCAGAGAAGCAGGTGCAAGGATGTTCACTGGAACATTTCAAATCAACTAGTCTATGAAATTGTTCTTCAAGTAAATATTTATTGAATGCCCTTATCAGAGCAGGTATTGTTCTTATAATGATGGGCAAGATAAACAAAATTCTTCAATTAATGGAGTTGGTAAAGAAGCATTCATATGTTAAAAAATTAAAAGGAAAATAAGAAACAATACACAAAAGTGTGCAATAAAACTAAATTTCTCCCCGGACCATTCACTCTCACCATTACTGCTTTTCACAGTTGTATACAATTTTTAAAAATGTGTGCGTGTGTATATGCACACACACTTTTGTTGTTGTTCAGTTGCTAAGTTGGGTCCGACTCTTGGCGACTCCATGGATTATAGCACACTTGTCCTCACTATCTCTCAGAGTTTGCTCAAATTTATGTTCACTGTGTTGATAATGCCATCCAACCATCTCATCCTCTGCCATCCCCTTCTACTTTTGCCTTAAATCTTTCCCAGCATCAGGGTCTTTTCCAATGAATTGGCTCTACACATCAGGTAGCCAGAATATTGGAGCTTCAGCAAAAGTCCTTCCAATGAATATTCAGGGGTACACACATATACACATACTTTTCCTTTTTTTAAGGATGTACCAAATGCTTTGGACTTCCCTGGTAGCTCAGACAATAAAGAGTCTGCCTGCAATGCAGGAGACCTGGGTTCGATCGCTGGGTTGGGAAGATCCCCGGGTTGGGAAGATCCCCTGGAGGAGGGCATGGGAACCCACTCCAGTACTCTTCCTGGAGAATCCCATGGACAGAGGAGCCTTGTGGGCTGCAGTCCATGGGGTCACAAAGAGTTGGACATGACTGAGCGACTAAGCACAACATACAGCACTGTATGCTTCAGCATCATGCAAACCGAGAACTTCCAGATGTCTAAACTGGGTTAGAAAAGGAAGAGGAGCTAGAGATCAAACTGCCAACATTCACTGGATTATAGAGAAAGCAAGGGAATTTCAGAAAAACATCTACCTCTGTTTCATTGACTATGCTAAAGCCTTTCACTCTGTGGATCATGACAAACTGTGGAAAGCTCCTAGAGAGATGGGAATACCAGACCATCTTACCTGTCTCTTGAGAAATCTGTATTCGGGTCAAGAAGCAACAGTTAGAACCCTGTCTGGAACAAGTGATTGGTTCAAGATCGAGAAACTAGTACAACAGAGCTGTCTACTGTCACCCTGTTTGTTTAACCTGTACACTGAGCACATCATGAGAAATGCTTGACTGGATGAGTTACAAGCTGGAATCAAGATAGGCAGGAGAAACATCAACAAACTCAGATATGCAGATGATATCTCTCTAATGGCAATAAGTGAAGAGGAACTAAAGAGCCCTTTGATGAGGGTGAAGGAGTAGAGTGAAAGAGCTGGCTTAAGACTAAATATTAAAAAAACTAAGATCATGGCATCCAGCCCCATTACTGTATGGCAAATAGAAGGGGGAAAGGTGAAACTAGTGACAGATTTCCTTTCCTTGGGCTCCAGAATCACTGCAGATAGTGACTACAGCCATGAAATCAGAAGATGATTGCTTCTTGGCAGGAAAATGATGAGAAACCTAGACAGTGTGTTGGAAAACAGACATCACTCTGCCAACAAAGGTCCATATACTCAAGGCTATGGTCTTCCCAGTGGTCACGTGTGGTTGTGAGAGTTGGACTGTAAAGAAGGCAGAACACCAAAGAATTGATGCCTTCAAACTGTGGTGCTGGAGAAGACCCTTGAAAGTTCCTTGGACAGCAAGGAGATCAAACTAGTCAATGTTAAGGGAGATCTATCCTGAATATTCACTGGACGGATTGATGCTGAAGCTGAAGCTCCAGTATTTTGGTCATCTGATGTGAACAGATGCTTATTGGAAAAGTCCCTGATGCTGGGAAAGGTTGAGAGCCAAAGGAGAAGAGGGCATCAGAGGATGAGATGGCTGGACGGCATCATCGATGCAATTTACATAAACTTGAGCAAACTCTGGGAGATGGTGAGGGACAGGGAGACTTGGCATGCTGCAGTTCATGGGGCCTTGAAGAGCTGGACATGACTAGGAGACTGAACAACAACTATAGTATACCTAATAGGTCTTACTTTGTTTTTTAAATTATTTTTTAAATACTTTCATGAAAGCATAAACAGATCTACTTACTTTTTTTTAAAGGCCACATAGAATTTCATGCGGAGAAGACAGTAGCACCCCACTCCAGTACTCTTGCCTGGAAAATCCCATGGACGGAGGAGCGTGGTAGGCTGCGGTCCATGGGGTCACAAAAAGTCGGACACGATTGAGCAACTTCACTTTCACTTTTCACTTTCATGCACTGGAGAAGGAAATGGCAACCCACTCCAGTGTTCTTGCCTGGAGAATCCCAGGGATGGGGGAGCCTGGTGGGCTGCCATCTATGGGGTCGCACAGAGTCAGACACGACTGAAGTGACTTAGCAGCAGCAGCAGAATTTCATGGTATAGATGGACTGTTATTTATTTAATCTATTCCCTTTTGACGGACAGCTTTTTTTCTCTTATGACCAGTACAGTTATAGCAGTGAATCAAGTGAAAATCATAAGCTATGTGTTTGTACTGATACCTTGTATCTTAGCTAAAAGAGGTTGTAAATAATATATAGCATCCTGTTTATACCTGAAGCATCTGAGTTTATGCACATGTGAATGTATACTAAAATAGTGTGGAAAATATTCATCACTTAACTAGGGTTATTTCTGCAATTTGGGATCATGAGGTCAGTTTCACATTTGCTGTGTTTTATGCATGTTTTACCATGGTCAAATATCATCAGAAAAAATAATAAGGATATTTCCATTTTGGAGAAGAAAGTTCTCATCCAAAAAAGGATTCGTCTGGACTTACCCTTTGGGGTGTCCTGGGTCAAAGACATCCACTTCTCTGAACACTACTTCACTGTCTTGGCTCAGAGTGTATGTAGTTTTTCCAGTGAAGGAGCCTGGCTTTCATCTCCACTGGGAGAGATAGATGTCTCAGCTATTATGACCTCAAGCTGGAAGGAAGGAATCTGGATTACCTAATTTAATATGCTTATGCCATCCTGCCCTGTTCTGTGCCCAGGTAAACAACAGATTAGAGATGGGCTGAGTCTCTAGGAGTGGAGACAGAACTCTGCTGAGCCATTTTTTTTCCTTCCCCAGGCCCCATGGGCTGGCACTAGGAGGCAAACCGCATTTTGATCAGAGCTTCAGTGGGGAGGCTCCTGTCTGTCTCGTGGAGATGAGGAGAATAGCCTGGACATAGTGAGGACTGTGTAATTACTTAAGGATCATAGCCACCATATGACCCAGCAGTCCCGTTACTGTGCATATACTCTGAGAAAATCACAATTCAAAAAGACACATGTTACCCCAGTGTTCACTGCAGCACTATTTACAGTAGCCAGGGTATGGAAACAACCTACATGTCCATTAACAGATGAATGGATAAAGCAGTTGTGGTATATATATATACAATGGAATATTACTCAGCCATAAAAAATGAATTTGAGTCAATTCTAGTGAGGTGGATAAACCTAGAGCCTTTTATACAGAGTGAAGTAAGTCAGAAAGAGGAAAACAAATATAGTATATTAAAGCATATATATGGAATCTAGAAAGATGGTACTGATGAACCTAATTGCAGGGAAGGAATGGAGACACAGATGTAGAGAATAGACTTGTGGACACAGTGGGGGAACGAGAGGGTGGAATGAATTCTTAGAGTAGCACTGACATATGTACACTATCATGTGTAAAGCCGATAGCTAGTGGGAAGGTGCTAATACATTAATAACACAGGGAGCCAGTCCAGCCTGGTGCTCTGTGATGAACTAGAGGGGTGGAATGGGGGCAGGAAGGGAGGCCCAAGAGGAAGCGGATATAAATATGTAGTTATGACTGATTTGCAGTGTTGTACAGCAGAAACCAATGCAACACTGTAAAGCAATTGTCCTGCAATTAAAAAAAGAGAGAGAGAGCATGGCCAGCGCTTCTTGTGGTCCAGTCTTCTGTCTTAATGCCCTCCTTTTGGCTGGCACTGGTGGCCTCCCTCTGTCCTCTCATCCTTTATTATGAACACTAGGGGAAAGAATGTTAGTCTCATGAGCTCTTTCCTGGGGGTCCTGGCATTTCAACCACTTTGCTGGGTGGAAATCCTACCTAATGATGGATGTGCTGCTCCCTAATAGCTGGGATATGTTTAACCCATGGTCCTGGAATTTTAGTCCCATGCCTAATAAGTAGACTTCCCAGGTGGCACTAGTGGTAAAGAATCTGCCTGCCAATGCAGGAGACGTAAAGAGACTCAGGTTCAATCCCTGGGTCAGGAAGATGCCCTGGAGGAGGGCATGGCAACGCAGGTATCAACAACTATTTCTGGGGTTGATTTAATTTTGATTTGCGGGAGGTGTATTACTTTTCTATTACTGCAATAACAGATTACTAAAAATTTAGCATCCTTAAACAGTACAAATTTATAATTTCACAGTTTCTGTGAATTAGAAGTTCAAGTAGAGTCAACTGGTCCTCTGCTGAGAAGCTCACGAGACCAAAACCAGGGTGTGGGTCAGTCCAGGCTCTTACCTGGAGGCTCTGGGGAGATTCCAGTTCCAGGTTCATTCAGGTTGTTGGCAGAGTCAATTCCTTGGGGCTGTAGGACTGAGGTCCCCACTCCCTTGACATGTGACATCCTGTCATCTTCAAGCCAACAATGGCATGTCATTTCTGTCCTCTTCTGTTACCAGCCAGAGAATGGTCTCCGCCTTTTTGTTTAAGTTATTATGTAATTAGATTAAGCCCACCCCAATAATCCAATATAATCTCCCTATCTTGTTGACTTGAACCTTGAAATTTTCCTGT